CCCCCCGCCACGCCAAGACTTGAGGGTATTATGCAGTAGCCCCCCCAGAGGGAGTCGACCAGGACATTCCATCAGCCCAGACCCCATGATAGCAGATGAATGGGCAAGAGAATAGGAGCAGTTGTGGATGGAGGGAGGAGAGAGGAGAGAAGAGACAGAGAGATACCCAGTCAGAAGAAGAAAGATAAGTTCAAATTAACCAAGATTCAGATGAGCATGTTGAGATTTTTGCATTGAGCTGCTGAACCAGTGGTTCAGATAAAGATTATGGTGCGCGTGATAACATGTTGGGCGCTGCTGGACGAGTGGAGTATGATGGCGCGACGCGGAGAGCTACCCACCAATATTGTCACGGATCATCAAGGTGGCACGGTTCATGGTGGTGCACAAGGCGCTGCGACTGGACGCCAATGCATCCGACATGCTGGCCAGGAACCAAGCAAGCCAGATGGTGGGAGAGTGGGCCGTGGTGAGCCCCATGGAGGAGGCGGATTACACGTTCACAGCAATCAGAATGAAGGGTAATCAGTGAAGACATCAGAGGCATCCCATCAACAATCAGACAGACATTCCACAAACAGAATGTCCATCAAGGCCGGTTCATCATCACACATCAGCAGCGAGGGCAGAGGGCATTGATGGATGAGGAGGTTTTAGTGGAAGAGGCGCAGAGGTGGAAGGATCAGTGTTTGATATGTGCAAATTGCAAGCGGGAGGGAGTTTGACCATGAGCTGTACCAGTGTCCCCACGAGGAGAGCCAGGAGGCAAAGAGATGGATGATGACAGTGCGGAGCAAGATCAAATACACACAGTATTCCGGGTGCTTCCGATGCGGGATGCCGCAGTCCATATGCAACAGCTGGAAGACACAGAGGCAGTGTCCGTACAGGGGATTTTTGATCCCGACAGTGGCAATGATGATGTATGGGTGTCATGCAGGGCAGATGAAGCAGGCGTGGAGACAGCGGCTGAGAGAGTTCAATGTGGATGCAGATGATCAGGAGGCGGTGATTGAATTTTTGGGACAGAAGGTTGAGGGGCAGGGCATCGAGCACAACCGGCTGGTGGAGATGTTTTGTTGGCTGCGAGGGATATATCAGGAGGCAGAGAGGGGGAAGATCGAGTCAGAGGGTACAGGGGTCAAGTGATATCACGGGTGAGAGGCACCACAGGGGGATGAAAGACGTATATATATATAAAGGCAGGTGAAGCAAGAGACAGAGGGTAGGGTTACAAAGAGTGAGGGTAGAGGCTGGGGGGGAGGATGAGGTCGTCAGAGTCAGGGTTAGGGTTGAAAAAGAGTGAGGCTAGAGACAGGGGTGGGCAGTGAGGTCAGGATAGGCGGTTAAATTAGACGCAAACCCGTTAACCCATTGAAAGTCAAACCCGTTGGACCCAAACCCGTTGGACGTCGAAGCCGTTGGACGTCAAACCCGTCCCAGGAGGGAATTAACCCGTTGGGAGTTGAACACGCCGGACCCAACCCGTTGGACGTCAAACCCGTTGGACGTCAAACCCGTCCCAGGAGCGCATTAACCCGTTGGAAGTCGAACACGCTGGACCCAACCCGTTGGACGTCGAACCCGTTGGACGTCGAACCCGTCCCAGGAGCGCATTAACCCGTTGGAAGTCGAACACGCTGGACCCAAACCCGTTGGATGTCGAACCCGTCCAAGGAGCGCATTAACCCATTGGACCCGAACCCGTTGGATGAACCCATCAACCCGTTGGACGTCGAACCGGTTGGATGAGGAAGTCGAACACGCTGGACCCAAACCCGTTGGACGTCAAACCCGTTGGACGTCAAACACGCTGGACCCAAACCCGTTGGACGTCAAACCCGTTGGACGTCAAACACGCTATCCAACAGGTGGGGGTGGAATGGACGTCCATTCCATTCAGGGTTAGAAAACCGACCAATCAGAGCAGGGCAGATTGGACGTACATTCCATTTGGTTTCAGACGTTGAACGTCTAATCAACCACGGAGTCAATTGACTTCAAACTTTGCATGTAGGCCGTAGTGGATATGAAATACAACATATCCAAATCAAAAGCGATAATTCCGCCGGGAAGGGGTTACATTGTGGTGTCAAAGTCAATGAGTTGAGGTGCGATGTTTGATGGGGTAAGCC